CCTTACTCTAGAGCAGGTATCAGCAAACCTCCTCTGTATAGGACTGTTGTTGTTGTTACATGCCCATCAAGTCGGACCCAACTCATAGAGACCCTTCCATGGGTTTCCAAGGCGGTATCACTACAGAAGTAGATTGCCCAACCTTCCTTCTGAGGAGTGGCTGATGGGTTGAACCGCCAGCCTTCTGGTTAGCAGTCAAGTGCCTTAGGCACTATGCATAGTGCTACTAGAGCTCCCTGTATAGGACTAGACGGTAATTTATTTATTTTTTTTAAGGCTATGTAGGCTATTCTAATGCAAGATGTAAATAATAGGAGACACAGTGTGCCGTGGGCAGAGGGGACACAGGAGAATCTGTACGCTCCATACAACTTTTCTGTAACCTAAAACTGCTCTAAAAAGTAATGTGAACAAATTAAAGACAAATAATGTATGTCAGACAATAAGGTGAACAAATGGGAGTCAAAAAAGAAAAGACATCTATGAGATGATTTATTACTAACAGCTCTTGCAGAAAGTACACCGCTTGCTGTAAAGATCTTTCAGGTCAACTCCTTTCCCAAGTTGCTTCTGGTAGATTTAAATTATCCCTAAATTCCTAGTTTCTGTCCTGCTGTAGCTGCATTTATCTGTATGTCTGCTAGTGATCATGCTACCCTCTTGCCAGCTGGTTTTCGAATTTTTCAGTTTCTAGATATTTATAAACAGAAGAAAATCTGATAAAAATAACTTGGTATCATGTGATGTGTTTACACATTAAAGGAATCTGGTTGTTGCCTAACCAAGATCATATGCCTATTCTCAAATATTTCTCTAACTGGAAATTTAAAATTTAAAGTTTGTATGTGTTATGTTGAATGTCTTATTGTGGTTTATATTTCAAATAAAGTTTCATATTCTATTTTTAGGAATACACATACAACACATTATTTTTACTTATAGAGTGATTAACAATTATAATAAAAAAAGTCAACTACCAAATTCTGATCCAAAATACAGTTTAAAATGAAATTTCAGGTAGCTTAAGGGAAGGAAAAACAATTTAAAGAGATGTAAAAAAGAAGAAAAAGTAAAGATGGGAAACCATTTAGTGAGTCTGAATCTCACTCAGAAAACAGTTTTCAAAGTGAAAGGTAATTGTTCTAGTAAATATCAAATGGCGATTATAGAGCCCACACAGATCACCATACCATATTTAAATAGCTAGTAAGAAAAATGGGACCTCTGGTAGGATAGTGCCTAAGGCATCTGACTGCTAACCAGAAGGCTGGCAGTTCAAACTCACCAGCCACTCCTTGGAAGGAAGACTGGACAATTTACTTTTGTAGAGATACCGCCTCGGAAACCCAAGGAGGGGTCCCTATGAGTCGGAACCAACTCAATAGCAGTTAGTTTGAGTGAGAGTAAGAGAAATAGAAAAGCTGTCTTTTAAGACAATATTTCACAGTGAAAGTTATGGAAATTCTTAGAATGGTTCACTTACAAAAACAAATTCAATAGTTCTGAATTACTTATGTAATGGTTGGTTTCATCTGTGAAAACCAAATACAGTATTAAGTTTTAACACATAACCAACAATTACATAGAGTACTATACCGAAAGAAGATGCCTTTCTTGATAGCAAAATGACTAAGAAATATAAACTAAAATTACTTAGCATTGAAAGGGAGCCCACCGTTCTTCCCTTTCATTTAAATCAACTGTCAAGAAGGAAAGTGTTGGGAGTTACAGTATAAAACAAATGAGCTATCATAATAAAGGAGACATGAGAACCCTTCAGAATTTTTTTTTTTTTTTAAAAAGCTCACAATAAATTTAGAACACTGTTGTTTAAAAGGCCATTTTTCACAGAAAATAAAGGCTCAGTAAATCATCCTAGACCCTAAGGGGTGATACTAATCTGTCATATAGGATCCCTGAGTAGGAAATGACTTGATGGCAATAGGTTTTAAGTTACCCTGAAAGGAATGGCTACCGCGGTGGCTTTAAAATATGTAGGCAAATTATGACGCCTCCCAGCAAACGGCATGCCAGACTTTTTGCCTCACGTTTAATAAAAGCGAGAAGCGATGCTGTGTGTTTTCTGGGACTAGGTCATAAAAAGGATGAAGCTTCTGCCTGTATTTTCTCTCTCAGTTCACTTGCCCTTAGAATCCAGCCACCATGTTGTGAGAGAGCCCCAACCAAAAACCAAACCCACTCAAGTAGGACCTGAGTCATAGAGACCCCTCCTTGTGTTTCCGAGGCAGTATCACTATGGCAGTAGATTGCCCAACCTTCCTTCCAAGGGAGACAACCCAGGCCACCTGGAAAAGCCATGTGTGGCCCCTTCTAGCCAAATCAGCATTAACAGCCAGACACAGGAGAAATGAGCCTTCAGAAGGTCCAGTACCTGTCCCAGACATTGTGAAGGAGACAAGCCATCCTGTCTCTGAATTCCTGACTCACAGAAATGGTCGAAGATAATTAAAGATTATTGTTATTTTAATCCACCAAATTTTCAGATTTTATTTTATTTGCAGTAACTAATGTAGGTGTCTGGGAGCTCTGGTAGCGCAGTGCCTAACTAAGGCACTTGACTGCTAACCAGAAGGCTGGCGATTCAAACCCACCAGCCACTCCTTGGAAGGAAGGTTGGACAATCTACTTCCATAGTGATACTGCCTCGGAAACCCAAGGAGGGGTCATTATGAGTTAGGACCGAATCAATGGCACATAACAACAACAACAATATAGTTACCTACAATGTGTATGCATAAAAAATGGAATGATCTTTTTTTCAAACTAATAACCTTTACAGCAATGAATTACAGAGTATACATATCCTCTATTTATTAAATTTAGTCACTTATTGGTAAAGGTTAAAGACTACAGTTTGCAGTATGGATTACATCTCAACGTAAAGAAAATGAACATCCTTACAACTAGACCAATAAGCAGCATCACTATAAATGGAGAAAAAACTGAAGTTGTCAAAGATTTCATATTACTTGTTTCCACAATCAATACCAATGGAAGCAGCAGTCAAGACATCAGATGATGTATTTCATTGGGCAAATCTGCTGCAAAACCTCTTTAAAGTGCTACAGAGCAAAGATATCCCTTTGAAGACTAAGGTGCGCCCAACCCAAGCCATGGTTTTTTCAATCTCCTCATATGCATGTGAGAGTTGGACAATGAACAAGGATGGCTAAAGAAGAGTTGATGCTTTTGAATTGTGGTGCTGGCGAAGAATACTGAAGGTACCATGGACTGCCAAAAGAACTAACAGATTTGCCCTGGAAGAGGTGCAGCCAGAATGCTCCGTGGAAGCAAGAATGGCCAGACTTTGTCCCACCTATTTTGGTCATACTGTCAGAAGGGACCATTTCTTGGAGAAGGATATCATGCTTGCTTAAGTGGAGGGTAAACGAAAAAGAGGAAGGCCCTCAATGAGATAGACTGACACAGTGTTTGCAACAATGGGCTCAAGTACAGCAAGGATTGTGAGGCTGGCACAGGACCAGGCAGTGTTTCATTCTGTTGTACACAGGGTCACTATGAGTTGGAGCCGAGTCGACAGCACCTAACAACAACATTTAAGTAATGCAATTGAACTTCACTAACTGAACTTTCCTAATGTGAAATCTAAAACAATTCAGACTAAGTTTTAGTGTCTAGGCTAAATGATATCATTAAAATAGTTCTGGAAATGAGAGTTTAGGTAATCTAAACAATCCATGCAACAATACAAAGAAACTACTTTAGCTAATCAAGAGAACAAACTGTTTTGAAAAACTGTAAGAGGATAGCACCATCTACAAAAAAGGCACTCAATAGTTACTAAGTGCCAAATAAACATTAGAAGCCTCAAATTCTTCCTAACCATTTTTTACTTACTAGTTTTAAAGTATATTTGTACATGTAGACATTATTGAATTGGTGCATATTCTGCTGTGCATATTATCAACAACAATTTTTTTTTGAAGTATCTTTATTTGGCAATTGGTCAGTTTAGCTCAAGCAAATTATTTGTGCACATTCTTTATTTTTTCCTAATAAAAGGTGATATTTCCTATTATCTTGTCCAAGAGGGCGTTCCTTATCTTGTTCATCTCTGTATTTACAAAGGGACATAACACAGTGTCTTATATGAGGTGTAGTACTTGACAAATATTTGTAAAAATGATCCAACTGCATTATATATTTGAAGCTAACTCAATTATCTCATGTTAACATGGTTTTTACTAATTTATTCTGATCTTCCTCACAATTAGCCCAGGCACATTTTACTATACTTCCTAAGAGCATACTTTGTACACCTTTCCTATCTTTTATGAATTATAGTAAAAATAAGAATATAAATATTTTTATAAAATAATCCGCGGCATTTAAAACCATTTCCAAATTTCTGGGACTAAAGCAAACTGCTGTACAATCCCACGTTGCTTAGGAGAATGGCGCCCCCTAGGGCTGTGCAATGTGGCAGCAGGCTCATTTCCTCTGGCTCAGAACAGAGAGCACCTAATTCCTTACAGTATTTCCATTCTGCTACAGGCAGAGATTTGTAAGTCAGTATTATTTTTAAATGATTACAAAGACCACTCTGCTTAGAACAAAAAAGAATAAAGACATAGGATTTTTAGTTTATTCCTCCAATTTGTCAGAACAGAGATCAAACTTCATTTACAAGTTATAATTCTTATACTTGTCAATGAATAGACTATTTAAAGTATTTCTTCTTAATGTTAATAGCTGTCTTTGAAATTAAGCAGTACACCAAGCAATTAAATGTTTCTTTTGTCCATACATATTCATAGTTCATTGCTTAATAGACAGCCATATTTTCTGCAGTTTGTCTGAACATGTAACTTGTACTAACAAGATGTGAGTGCCAGTACCAGATTTTCAAGTAAGCGGTATGGCCCTAGAGAAGCCATTTTAAGTATCTGTCTTATTGTAAACCTATTTTATAGGTAAGTAGACATAAGATTTATATGAAAACATTTTGCTAAAGTTGCTAAACTATTTTCTAACATTTGGTGGATACACTGTAATTTAACCAAAATAGATTGCATACTTTCAGAACTACAAAATCCAGTAGTTGTACAAGATGAATTAAAATAGCAAAGCTAGTTATAACAGTAATTCCATTTATCCATGTCCTCATTTAATTCCATTAAGAAATAAAAATTATAAAAATAGATAAGTTTGCATGAAAATATTCCTATTTATCTTAGGATTTCTTGCTCATATCTATAGGCTGTCTGGCATCAGCTACTGCGTCCGGTACTCGAACAGTCATATTGTCCATAGACTTTGTCAAACAGATTTGGCAGCCCAACCGTGATCTGTATAAAAAGAGGAGAAGTCATGTTTAGTATGAGGTAGACATTATTCACGAAGCAATGCAGATTGTTTAGGACATTGTTACACTGTCTTAGCAAACGCAGTAGGGAATTTCTTTACCTTTTAAGTTCTCATTAAAACAAATATACTGAATCCTACCAACTACATAAAACAAAAAATAAAACCCTGCCATACCAAAGTTTCACATTAGTCTTTAGTTTCTATCATCTACTAATCTCTTCACCAGAACTACTGCTTCTTCTGGTGAAATGGCTGACAAGCAATGAAAATAATCAAAAGGCACAACTGTGGAGAAAGAACTGAGGTTAGCATGGCCAAAAAAATGATTACTCAATTTCCAGATAATTAAAACCATACAGACTTAAAAAAAATGAAAAGACAAGACAGAGACTGGGAGAAAATATCTGCAAAACACATATCAAAAAAGACCTGTATCCAAAATATAACAAGAAACTTTAAAAGCTCAAAAAAAAAAAAAGAAAAGAAAACAAACACCCAAGTTTTTAAAATGGCTGAAGAGCTGAATACACACCTCACCAAAGAAGATATACAGATGACAAATAATCAATCATATGAAAAGATGTTTCATATTCTATGTCACTAGAGGATCGTAAACTAAAACAATAAGATACCAGGGGTGGGCTGGGGGTGAACCAAACTCACTGGCACCAAGTTGATTCCGACTCATAGCAATTCCCTTTGGGCTTCCGAGGTGGTAAATCTTTACAGAAGTAGACTGCCCAGTCTTCCTTCCGTGGAGTGGCTGGTGGGTTTGAACCGCCAACCTTCTGGTCAGCAGTTAAATGCCTTAGGCACTACACCCCGAGAAAAAGCTAAAATCTAAAACACTGACAACACCAAATGCTAGCAAGGACATGGAGCAAAAGCAGCTCTCATTAACTGCTAGTGGGAATGCAACATGGTTTAGCCACTTTGCAAGATAGTCCTACAATTTCTTACGAAGTGGAAACAGGCTTATATATGATCCAGGAACTGTGCTCCTAGGGATTGATCCAAATGAACTGAAAACGTTATGTCCACACAAAAACTTGCTTACAAATGTTTCATTATTAGCAAATTTGGAAGCAACCAAGATGCCTTTCAATAGGTGAATGAATGGATAAATGAACTGTGGTATATCCATATAATGAACTACAAAGTAATATAAAGAAATGAGGTCACAAGCTACAAAAAGATACACAAGAACCAGGAGTACATACTGCTAAGTAAAAGAAGCCAGTCTGAAAAGGCTAAATATGATTCTGATTATATGACATTCTGGAAAAGACAAGGCTATACAGACAGCAGAAAGATCAGTGGGTGCCAAAAGTTCAGGGGGAGGGAGGAGGGATGGATAGATGGAACACAGGGCATTTTTGTGGCAGTGAAACTATTCTGTATGATACTGTAATGGTGGACACATGACATTTGTTTAATGCACTTGTCAAAATCCATAGAACGATACAAAACAAAGGGTAAAACTTAATGTAAACTATGGACTTCAGTTAATAATATATCAGTATTAGTTCATCAAATATAACAAATGTACCACACTACTACGTTTTTTACTGTGCAATTCTTCCGTAAATCTAAGACTGCTCTAAAAAATAAAGTCTATTTAAAATAAAAACCATGCAGACTGTAAAAGAGAGCCACACTTTTTGAAGGCTTTGAAACAAGAAATTTAAAATACATTAAGAAACAGATCCTACAAGCCATCAATTTTAACATGCATATGTTTCCCACATTTTCAACATCACTAAAATCAAGATGGGAGCTCTGGTTGTGCAGTGCCTAAGGCATATGACTGCTAACCAGAAGGCTGGCGGTTCAAACCCACCAGCCACTCCTCATAACGAAGGTTGGGCAATCTACTTCCATAGTGATACCACCTCGGAAACCCAAGGAGGGGTCGCTATGAGTTGGATCTGACTTGATGGCAGTGAATTTGGTTTTTGGTAAAATCAAGATTCATCTTAAAATCACTGGCATCTAACAATCACTGCCACACTGTCAGATCTGAGGAAAAAGCATTTACCTTCTGGCCAGGGGAGATGGTGTTTAGAATGGGCTTTGAAGGATAAGTAGGATGTGATATTTAATAGAGGATAAAAAAGAAAGGCATTTGAGACAAAGATAATATAATGCAAAGCAGTTCCAGGCACCTTTGAGGCAAGACAGGTGTTTTCATTTGGCTGCCACACAATACAGGACAAGGACAGGAACAGGGATAGGATGAAAACTGGTCAGGGCCACACACAGCTTTGAACACCAATTAAAGCATAGGTTTTAATAAGTGAGCAATGAGGGACCACTGGCAAGTTTAAGAGCAAGGAGGCAAATTTAACTATAGGACACATTGATTGCTAGTGGAGAAAAATTCCTTTCCATCAATGCTGTTGTTGTTAGGTGCACGAGTCAGTCTCGACTCACAGAGACCCTACGAACAACAGAGTGAAACACTACCCAGTCCTGTGCCATCCTCACAATCGCTGCTTTGCTTGAGCCTGCTGTTGGAGCCACTGTGTCAATCCATCTCGTCAAGGGTCTTCCCCTTTGTTGCCCAACTTCTACCAAGCATGATATGGTATGGGTTCAAGTACAGGTTCCTCCTGATAACATGACCAAAGTATGAGAGACAAAGCCCAGCCATTATCACTTCTGAGGAGCACTCTGGCTGTACCTTCCAAGACAGATTTGTTCATTCTTCTGGCAGCTCATGGTATATTCTTCACCAGCACCACAATTCAAAAGCATCAATTCTTCTTCCATATTCCTTATTCACTGTCCAGCACTCACATGCACACGAGGCTATAGAAAAGACAATGGCTTAGGTCAGGCGCACCTTAGTCTTCAAAGCAACATCTTGCTCTTTAACACTTTAAAGTGGTCTTCTGCAGCACTTTTCCCCAGTGCAATACAATATCTGATTTCTTGACTGCTGATTCCATGGACGTTGATTGTGGAACCAAGTAAAATGAAATCCCTGACAACTTCAATCTTTTATCCATTTATCATAATGATGTTTAATGGTCCAGTGGTGAGGCTTTTTGGTATCTTTAAAGCTGGACTATATGAAGAAAATTGTGGTATTAGGATTGGAGGAAGAATCATTAACAACCTGAGATATGCAGACGATACAACTTTGCTTGCTGAAAGTGAGGATGACTTAAGGCACCTACTGATGAAGGTTGAAGAATACAGTCTGCAGTATGGATTACATCTCAACATAAAGAAAACAAAAATCCTCACAACTGGACCAATGAGCAGCATCACAATAAATGGAGAGAAAATTGAGGTTGTCAAAGAATTCACGTTGCTTGGTTCTACGATCGATGCCAACGGAAGCAGCAGACAGGACATTAGATGATGTGTAGCATTGGGAAAGTCAACTGCGAAGGAATTGTTTCAAGTGCTGAGGAGCAAGGATATCTCCTTGAGGACTAAGGTGCGCCTGACACAAGCCATGATATTTCCAATCGCCTCGTATGCATGTGAGAGCTGGACAATGAATAAGGAAGACCGAAGAAGAGTTGATGCTTTTGAGTTGTGGTGCTGGCGGAGAATGCTGAAAGTACCATGGACTGCTAAAAGAACTAACAGATCTGTCCTGGAGGAAGTGCAGCCAGAATGCTCCTTGGAAGCAAGAATGGCCAGACTTCGTCTCACCTATTTTGGTCATGTTGTCAGAAGGGACCATTCCCTGGAGAAGGATGTCATGCTTGGTAGGGTGGAGGGTCGACAAAAGAGGGGGAGGCCTTCAATGAGATAGATTGACACGGTGGCTGCAATGATGGGCTCAAGTATAGCAGGGATTGTGGGGCTGGTGCGGGATCGGGCAGTATTTCCTTCTGCTGTGCATGGGGTTGCTATGAGTCGGAAACGACTCGACGGCACTTAACAACAACAAGTCTGAGGTAGAATCCATACTGAAGACTATAGTCTTTGATCTCCATCAGTAAATGCTTCAAGTCATCTTCACTTTCAGCAAGCAAGGTTGTGTCATCTGCATATGGCAGGCTGTTAATAAGTCTTCCTCTAATCCTGATGCCATGTTCATACAGTCCAGCTTCTCAGACTATTTGCTCAGCATAAAGATTAAGTGTAATAAAAGGATACAAACCTGACCCACACCTTTTCTGATTTTAAACCATGCAGAATCCCCTCATTCTGTTTGAACAAGTTCCTCTTGGTCTATGTGCAGGTTCAGCATGAGCACAATTAAGTGTTCTACAATTCCCATTCTTCACAACGTTATCCATAATTGTTATTATCCACGCAGCTGAATGTCTTTTGATAGTCAATAAAACACAGGCAAGCATCTTTCTGGTATCTGTTGCATTTAGCCAGGACCCATCTGACATCAGCAATAACATGCCTTGTTCCACATCCCCTTCTCAATCTGGCTTGAATTTCTGGCAGTTCCCTATCAGTGTACGGCTGCAACAGTTTATGACTTATTTTCAGCTAAATTTTACTTGCATGTGATATTAATGACATTGTTCGATAATTTCCATATCTGTTGGATCACCTTTCTTTGGAATGGTCAGTTGACCAGGTAGGTGTCCACCAATGGTTTCTATTTTTGAATCAGAAACAGCGCTGACAATACTCAATTATGCAATAAATTCTGTCTGCAAGACAGAACATGTGACAAGCCAATTTGGACAAATTCATTAGGACTGCAGTGAGCCCAAGGACACAGTTGGATATATTTGGTGTTCCTATAAAGATAAGTAAGACAATGCTAGTCTTAAAGAACTTTTAATCTAGTAAAAGAAATAGAGATGGAAATAATTATCAGTGTAACAAGACAGAACACAATGAATGTAATGATAGAACAACAAGAAGTATGTCACAGGGATACAGGGAGGGTGCCACCATGAGGTCTTGCTTGCTCCATGACCCAAGAAGAGAAGGTAGTGACATTCGGTCACTATTTTCTTTTTCCTGTTTCCTCTTCCTCCTTAAAAGTGCCTGGCTCTAAGGTCTACCCAGTATATGAAATGACTTACCATGGAGTCTGGAGTTAATTCTGACTCAGGGCAACCTCAAATGTCTCAGAGTAGAACTGTGCTCCATAAGGTTTTCTATGGCTGTTTTTCAGAAGTAGATCACCAGGCCTTTTTCTGAAGCACCTCTGGGTCACTCAAGCCTCCTACCTTTCAGTAATGCTTTAACCATTTTTACCACCCAGGGACTCTGCCTAGTGCATAAGGTATCTTATACCTATCGAGTGGAGCTCTGGCAGCATAGTGCCTAAGGCATTTGACTGCTAACCAGAAGGCTGGCAGTTCAAACCCACCAGCCACTCCTCAGGAGGAAGATTGGGCAGTCTACTTTTGTAGTGATACTGGCTCAGAAACCCAAGGAAGGGTCACTACAAGTTGGATCTGACTCGATGGCAATGAGTTTGGTTTTTTTAGATACCCATCAAGAAAACAAAAAAACAAACCCACTGCCATCAAGTCAATTCCAACTCATAGTGACCCTATAAGACACAGCAGAACTGCCCCCCATAAAGTTTCTAAGGCTGTAAATCTTTACAAAAACAGACTGCCTCATCATTCTCCATGGAGCAGCTGGTGGGTTCAAACCACCAACCTTTCAATTAGCAGCCAAACCCCTTAACCACTGTACTACCAGAGCTCCTTTTATATAGATCAAGGAGATTAGCAATTCTTCCTTAATTTCACATACAAGTATACCTACCCCCCATCACCCCGCTTTTTGAAAGTCTGCTTTACACCACTTCGCTTTTACAAAAGACCTACGTTAATTATCACCTGTTTTCACTAACTGAAAGAAACCCAAAGAAGATTTTTCCTTTTACAAAAGAGAAAAAAAAAGCAAAAGGTGAAACTAGCATTTAGCCTTTGTTTTGCAGCGAGTTGTTATTAGCAGTGCACACACTCCAAGCAGCAGGAGTAGTGTTGCCAAGCTCCTTCCACCATCGTTTTGCATTATCTCTGTGAACACTATATGTTAGCATTATTTTAGGTTTTATTTGTTATTTGGTATGATTTGATAAGTGATTTTTGGGATCTGGGAACACTCAAAAATTTTTCCCATATAAATTAATGGTGATTGCTTCTTTGCTTTATGCTACTTCTTTGGCTTATGAAAGGTTTCATAGGAATATTATACTTTCAGATAGTGGGGGAAACCTGTATTAGTCCCACAGTATTCTGATACTTCAGCATACCTTGAAGACATTTTCTCACATCACCTCTGTCATATATATTTTGAAATATACTGAATGTTGAGTTTAATTTACTTTCAACATTTGTTTTTCAATTAGAGAAACAGCTTGAAATAGTAAAAAACCACGTGCTTTGGGGCTCAACATTACTGAAATAAAATCAGGACTCTGTCACCCACTAGCTGTGAAGAATGGGACAAATCTCAGATATATAACTAAACATTGGTTTCTTATCATCATTATTTTTGTTGCTTTCAGTTGCAGTCAAGTCGATTCTCTCTCATGCTGACCTTAAGGGTGCAGAACAGAACTGTTCTATAGGGTTTTCAAGGCCGTGACCTTTCAGAAGATTGCCAGGCCTTACTTCCAAGGTGCCTCTGGATGGGTTTAAACTGCCAACTCTTCAGTTAGTAGGACAGTCAATGCTTAACCATTTGTGCCACCCAGGGACTCCTTTTCATCTATAAAGTGGTAATGATACTGCCTGACCTTAATGGTCAGAAAAAATCTTTGTTATATCTAGGTATTATAATAGGTACTTAACATATAAATTGATATTACTGTAATTATAATACTAACAATTACCATTTAACGAACTCATTCTCTACCAGACACTTCTAAGAGGTTCATGTGGATTTATTCATTAGCTCCACAGAAAAGACCTATGAGATAGGTACTATTGTTATCCTCATCTTACAGATAAAGAAACTGAGGGCCTTTATATAGATTATCCACAGAACTGGTGGCAAGGAGCAATGACAATCATGAAATATAGATTTCCAAATAATTCCTGAATCTCCCTTTCCAACAACTATTTATTCCAGAAATAGCTGGTGATCCTCTATTGTGAATCTGGCACTATGATGAGCATCAGAAATACAATGGTGAAATAAGGCACAGCTCCTCCTCTTAGGAAATTTATAATCTCAGCAAAAAAAGAGACAAGTAACCAATACGATAAATGTATAACCAGTCTTATCAATAATCAAGGCTAAGTACACCCTACAAATAAACATTAAATGATGATGTTTTACCAAAAAAAATTAAAGACATTTATGTGATATTTTAAAACCAAATAAATATATATGCTACAAAGGCTGAATTTCTTATTTTTTCAAAATATGTCAAAGTGCTTTGCATTTGCTACCTGTGAAAAGCATTACGCTCTTTCCTCACACAGCACTTCTACTTAAATTACCTGTACTTAAGAACACCCACTATGAAACTCTAAAACCTACTGCTTGCTCCCAGTGTCCAGAGCTAAAACTTCTAAAATTTATTATCAAAATTCTTGGCTAACTTATTATACACCTTTTGTACAACAAACACCTTTTGTATCTTATTAAATTTTTGCATCTCTTCTAACTGTAGCTCCCCTCTTCTCCATTTTATTTTTCCTCACTTAGAATATTACCTGCTATATGGACCTACCAATTTTACCTCAATAAAAGGACAAGCAATTAGCTATGATTTACCCATCCCTTATCATTGAGAGACAGACAGTTCTCAGAACTAAATTATTAATTCAGTCATTGAATATATTCTCTATGTTATCCTTTGGAAAGAAAGGAGGTATTGATAGAGAATGTGGCACCTGAAGAGGTGAGGGGCAACAGATAAGATGGCACCTATAATGTAATCTGCTTTGCTTTGGAATCCAAACAGAAACTATTCTTCCCAGTTTCTTCACCCAGAATATCAGTTTCATGTCTTCTACACCAAGAGGAAAAGGAACTAGCTAAGGAACAAAATGATTTTTCACCTCTATTATAAATACCAGTGACCTCCATACTTTTGTGAGGGTTAGATGAGATAGTTTATGTAAAATACCTAGCAAAATCCCAGTTACACAGTATACATAAAGTAAACAAAGCTATTATTATTATTACTAAAAAGGCCTTATTTTATTTACCCCTTCAAACAGTAAATTAACTAGTTGCTTTCCTTGATTTCAACCAAGGCTAAATTATTAAATAAATAAATAAGGCTGCGGTGTAGTAAATTACTTAGTGTGGCTTTTCTACCCATAAGTCTTAGTAAACTCCAAGGTGGGATTTTCTATGAGCAACTGAGGAGCTCCTGATTGCTGAAGTTGTCCACCTGGAGTATTTCTGTTGGGAGTGGCACAA